ACAAATGCCGATAGAATGTCAAATAAACCAAAGTAACAGCACAAACACAAACAAACGATTTTTACGTGGTTCGACAAGTTGCCTACGTCCACGGGGCAAGAAGAGCATGGAGTTTTCACTAATAGAGAAGAAGAGTACAAACTGAGATTACAAATCACTCGAATTCACCAATTAATCTTACCAAAAAAATCTTTAATTCTCTCCAAACAAAACCCTAACCAATAGCTCAGAAAATAACTCTTGTCTGTACTCTAAATATCCCCAATTCTATCACCAATCAAAGCCAAAGAAACCCTAAAATATATGTTGGTATTTATACCAAACACAGATCCCAAACAGAACAGGAAACCAAGCCTAGGCCCAGACCCGACACGCAGTCGACCGCCACGCCAATCACGGTCGACCGTGACCAACGATAGAAACTAAAAATCCATTACAGGGTCTCGCGGTCGACCATCATGCCAGCCGACGCGATCGACCCGAAACTTCCAAATGGCTGTCAGTTTTATTTTTCCTGTTCTTCTTCAATATTTTTATCGTTTTTACAATTCTCCACCTCGACGAAGTTTTTCCAAAACTGAGCAGACACCAACCAAACCAAATGTCTCACTTGTTGCGTCCAGTATGAAATAAAAACAAACTCACGATAACGGACTCAATCCACAATAAGTCGAGACCAAAATGAGAATGTGATCACTCTCCAAACATCGGTATCAACTCACCAAATCGGCTATATCATAAATGATTGCCTATGTATCCTATTGTCTAAGGAATCAAGCCTTTACGTAGTTCCCCCAAATGGCCTTCAAAGGCCCTCAATCAAATGAAAAAGTTATCAACTCTTCACCAACAAATCCGCGACTGATAGCTCTCCCAATAGCCCCAAAATGAAACAAACTAAACACCTCCACCTGAGATGAACCAATGGCTATATCCATATCCAAACTATGTCCAACAGCTGTACTCGAATCAACCATCTCATCATCTGCATCCAAATCCAAATGATCCCAATCTGTGTCACCTCAGCTAGAATCTCAAATGATGCAGTATGATCTGAAGTATGTGGAGTAATCTCCACCTAACGTGGAGTAGCATCACCCTCCACCCGCTATGATATCCTAACGATCTGATCAACACTCTCCACCTACCGAGAGTTAAATGTAACATACCTACTCAGAATAAAATCAGAGTCTCCCAACTGATAACCAAGCGAGCATCTGAATCCCAAATGTGCAATCGGATCAAATCTCACATCCTCAATGTGACCAAATGTTGGGCAACCAAACATCCGACGCAACCCAAAATCTGAAGTAGCTCCACCAGATCCAATAACTCCAAACACAGCAGTTGATAACCTATGACTAAGATAACCCAAATATGTCGAAGCTCCAAAACTCCTCTACAATCCAATGCTCGACAACCAACATCGATCCTTCTCCAGCAAGGAACGACCCATCAAAACTATCATCTCATCTCGTCATCCCAATGTTTCCTCTCCAATGAAGTATCTCAAACTGCCATGAGCTTGGCACGAACGCAAGAAAGGATCCCTATTAAAATCAGAACAACAAATCACCTTTCTGCCAATACACTTTCTCCATCTGTTGTTGACTTCTAGAACTTCACACCAATGGGACTTGGTTGCAACCTACCAATGCTTAGAATAGTCCCCAACCGTAGAAACCAAATACCGATTACCTCCCAATGATGCCTCCTTAGAAGGCCCCTAAATGCCTGAATGAACACCACCCAAAAAACCCCTCGATCGATGGATAGAAGTGCCAAACTCCACATCGATCTTCTTGCTCATACCAATGTATTCATAGGACTTCAATCTGTAGGTGAAAACACTCCTCAACAATTCATGCCGACATCAACACTCGAATATCCCAGCCTCAGATCCTTCTTTCTCAGCCATCTTCCTCAAAGTACCAACAAACCAATACAGAACAAATGAAGAATAGATCCAAACTGAAAAAGAGAGATTTTTACCTCCAACTGAAACCCTAACAAGGGCCTCCGAAAGATCTCACCCCCACACAATGGTAGACAAGATCCACAATAGTAAAAATCCTATATTTATCACCAATCGAAGCCCTAGACGAACTTCCACAGTAATCTACTCCACCAACTAGCCCAAGCGTAGCCCAAGCTCTGATATCACTTGTTGTGCGCGGAAGCCACCAATCGTTGTGCTTCGAGAAACCAAAACAAACCCCGAGAGAAGGCCAAACAAACCAAAGTAAGAACACAAACACAAACAAACGATTTTTACGTGGTTCGACAAGTTGCCTACGTCCACAGGGCAAGAAGGGGATGAGGTTTTCACTAATAGAGAAGAAGAGTACAAACCGAGATTATAAATCACTCGAACTCACCAATTAATCTCACCAACAGATCTCTAATTCTCTCCAAACAAAACTCTAACCAATAGCTCAGAAAATACTTCTTTTCTGTACTCCAAATACCCCCAATTCTATCACCAATCAAATCCAAAGAAACCCTAAAATGTGTGTTGGTATTTATACTAAACACAAATCCGAAACAGAACATGAAATCAAGCCCAGGCCCAGACCCGATACGCAGTCGACTGTGGCCAATGACAAAACTAAAAATCCATTACAGGGTCTCGCGGTCGACCGTCGCGCCAACCGACGCGGTCGACCATCAAAAGTCCAGAGACTTTTCCATGTGCTGTGCATGTTTGCGGTCGACCACCGCGCCACTCACGGTCGACCATGAAACTTCCAAATACTTGTCAACTTCATTTTTCCTGATCTTCTCCAATGTTTTCGCCATTTCTACAAGGAGTGTTGGTTATTAACATTTTTGTTATGGTGAATGTTTTGGATTGAAGGGTTAAGTTTAAGATAACATAAGGATTGGGTAATCTATTAGTAATTTCAATCATTTGAGGGATTAAGTTTAAAATAACTTAAGGAATATTAGGGGACATTAATGATTTGGGAGGCTATCTTAAAATACTAAAGATTTAAGGGAATATTATTGAAATGACCATTTTTTTAAATTTTATTTTTGGTGAGGTTATTGATAAACTAAGCTTCATGTTTGTCAATTGATTAATTCTTTTCATTTTTAGCTATTAACTAATTTTTATTGTTTTCCTCTATATTATGGGATTTTCAATGGAAAGAAGATAATTTAGCTCATGTCCTTCTTACAAGTTACAATGCAAAGTTAGCTTAGCTTTCTGTTCTTTCTACTATCTATTCTTTTTTTGAATTTGAGTGTTAATATTGCTACTCCCTAAATCATTGGATTATGAAGCATATGAATGTTTATACTATATGGTGCCCTTGATTAGATTTACATATCCATACTATCATTTTCACTATTGGCTTCTTTAGCTTGAGAAATATAATAACTAATGATGAAAATAGTTATGCTAATCTTTATTCCAGCATGCATGATTTTTCTTAGAATGACCAAAATTTCTTTCTAATTCTTTATTTTGGATCTTGATTTTTTTTTGCATTATATTATTTTATCATATATTAAAGACATGAACAAATATAATTACTTGAACCGTGTAGAGTTGAAAAAGTTTGATTGATTTTTTTAATTTGAAGAATTAAGATTCAATCGCTCGGTACGAATCTATTACAACTCTCTTTCAATTATAGAGGAAGAAAAGTTTTGATTTGACTTCTCTTTAGTTTAATGTGGGTTCTTGGTGGCGAAAGGACGCTTCCCTTGATGCTTGAGTCGAGATTGCTTCCCGTTGACGATCAGAACAAAATTATTGAAGAGCTTGGATTGGTGCTGCAAATCTCTGAATGCTCTTGTGTGCGTAGTTTGATCTCCGAAAATCCCCCCCAGTCTCTGTTCCCCCCTAATAGCTGCTCGAGGCTATTTATAGGAGTTCAGCACGTAACTGGCGTGCTGAAGTCATGGGAACGTGGGCATAACTGATGCGGTTGTGGGCATAACCGACGCCTACCACTTAGCCCACGTGGCTGTCATGGTCTTCGGGACCGTTACAGCCCAATTTGAAGTGAGTGACGAGCTTCATTGTATTGGTGAAGCTCGTCTTTGATGTCGAACCTCGCTGTGTTGGTGAACTTCGTCTTTGATATCGAACCTCACTGTGTTGGCGAACCTCGTCTTTGATATCGAACCTCGCTGTGTTGGCGAGCCTCGTCTTTGATATCGAACCTCGCTGTGCTGGCGAGCTTTGACTTTGATGTCGAACCTCGCTGTGTTGGCGAGCTTTGACTTTGATGTCGAACCTCGCTGTGTTGGCAAGCTTTGACTACGATGTCGAACCTCACTGTGTTAGCGAGCTTTGACTTCGATGTCGAGCTTCGCTGCTGTGACGTTCCTTTGCCGACTCGAAAGGCAGTGATGATTGATTCGAAGTACGAGACGAGACAACCCTCATGTGTCGACTCGGGAGGCGGTGATAGGCGACTCGAAGTCCGAGACGAGACCCGAGATGAGACCCCTTCGTGTCGACTCAAGAGGCGGTGATAGGCGACTCGAAGTCCAAGACGAGACCCGAGACGAGACCCCTTCGTGTCGACTCGAAAAGCGTTGGTAGTCGACTCGAAGATCCGAGACCGAGACGACCCCTTGTGTCGACTCGAAAGGCGGTGATCATCGGTTCGAAGTCCGAGACGAGATGACCCCCTGTGTCGACTCGAAAGACGGTGTTAATCGGCTTCGTTGTCTTGTTGAGCCGGAGCCTCGTTGTCTTGTTGAGCCTCGCCTTTCTATGAGTTCGAATTAGGATTTCAACTGAACTTCGACGTTTGTCTTGGCTAGCGTGGTTCATTATAATGAGTTGTGACCATCGTCTGCCTCTTAGCAATTTCCGAGTGCCTACACACCGCACGTGCACTACAGTAGTTAAAAAAATGAGGTTACCAACTAATCATTAAGTGAGGATAATTAATTTTTGTCGGGCTTTGGTGCCAATTTCTCCTATCACTGACAGAGTCGACAGATTTTAAACGCAGCAGGCTGCATCAGCCTTCTCATTTATTTATCAAACCCAGCTTCTAAGCAAGCGCCTCGGTTGAGATCACTGTTCCAACCCGTCTAATTTGCCTTTAATCAAAGCTTGAGCTATGGCTCCACACCCCCTACGATCCTCCTCTCGAGAACCTCTCAAATTCCTTCCCAAATTCGGCGAGTCAGCGGGCAAGAAAAAGGAAGACTTTTCGTTGGATTTGTTCCTATTCAGTGCTCTGGATGGTTTGGTTCGGAATCTTGTGGTGTCGGATCGAGGATGCAAGAAAGTGGGCAAGGGGATTTTCGCGAAAAGGGAAGATTTTGGGGGGTTTTTTCTAACGAATTTGAGGTTTGCGAGAATTTCCGGGGGAATTTCGAGGTCCGGTGGCGCCGAATCCTTCAGTGCTGCTTCTACCACTGAGCTCGCGCCTCGGTTCTCGGCTCAGAACTTCTCGCAGTACGCAAAGGGGGAAGGTATATATAGAGAGTTCGGCTTTGATACGCTATTGAACCGAACAACTTTGTCATGCAAATTGAATTGTAGTTTGCGCAGGGGGCTTGTCGAAATTATGTTTTACCCGCGAAAACTGAACGCGCATGCAACATTATTACCTGCTTACACAGGCCAAGAGTTAAAAATCTCAACATGCAGGCAACACACTCAGCAGTAGCATCAAAAATATTTTTAACCATCACCGCACTTCTACGTAGGACTTCATTTTGGCTGAGTTCCGCAAAACTGCGACTGTAAAAAAAAAGAAAAAAAAATACTTGGAGAAAAGATTAGCATAACTACTTTCGGCAGATTAAACTTTATTGAAAAGGCCCATCATGATTGAATGTTTCAGTTCAGGTTAGAGATGCAAGTTTTGCTGTCGTTAATTTGAAGCATCGTATACTTTGGCGCTTCAGCTTCAGCATTTCGTGACGCTTGCTGATTACAAGCGAGCGAGATCACCTTTCATTTCTTAAGCAAATCATTTTCTACAGGAAGGCAATTGTTTGAGGAGCTGGACGGAAATAAGGATGGGAGAGTAAGCCTTGGAGATCTTGAAATTGCTACGGGCGAACGACGAGTACCAAAGATGTAAGCTCTGGTAGCTTTTGCGTTGCACTAGAAAAGACACTTTTTTTTTTCTCTTTCCAAAATTAACTGCTTTATGATGCAGCAACAATTCTTGCGATTTTCACTGAAGTCATTTGGTCAAACATCGAGATTCCCTGTTTCTGGACTGCTACCGTAGAATAAGAGAGTTGAGAGGAGGCGGATATATTGCTATTATTAATTAAATCTTAAAGATTATAGCTGATGAAAACCTTTTCACACTACATAAAACATTAGAGGAATTTGATGGCATACAAGTTCATTGAAGCATAGATGACAATTATCCTGTAGAATATAGATATCGAGGAATGCATGCAAACATCTATTATTTCTCTGAAATTGTTCTTTATTGTTTATCTTGTTCATTGTTCCTTCGTTATTTCTCAGTTATGCAGTTGCGTATAAAATAAGATGTAAGGTCATTATTTTATCTGGCTTTGTATTTTTGTAGATGAAAATCTAATACATCAGGAATTCAGGTATAAAATACTTAAATGTGATCATGTTAGCAGATTCCTAACATGGGTACTGACCATTTTCTGCTACTGAATCTTAATATTTAAATATATAGGACGAGAATCACCATAAACAAATAAATACAAATTGTGTCCTTAACATGAGTGTTTTTACCACTCTCGAAGGAGTAGGTTAAATGTAGTAGGCTTACCTTTGAATTTATTGCTGTTTAACATTACAGAAACAAGTGCCATGAAGCTAGCAGTGCAGTTCCTGTTTCCCGACCAGCGGAGCCACTAGCTCAAAGTGTTCTGAAATCTGCATTGGCAGGAGGGATTGCTTGTTCATTTTCTGCTTTTATGATGCACCCTTTAGATACATTCAAGGTAACCTCACAAGTCTATTGACCAATCCTTGCTATTTAAAAAACGACAAATAGAGGAGATAGATTTAGATAATTAAGGATCTAATGTCTTGTGAAATTATAAAGAAGCTTATCGCTCATTTTCAAAATAAACTTGGTGGTGGAATGGCACAATCCAAAAGGCAATTTCAAGTAAACCATGTATCTTATAAAACTTAGTGTATATGCATAATAATAAAAAATATAAAATCAAAATAGCGAAAAGGTAGATAGTAAAACAGGTAGTGAGGATAAATCTGAGGTATATGATAGCGTAATAGTTAATTAGTAATATTTGAAAGGCTAGGGAATGCCTGACGTGCAAATGGAGGAGAAGCACTTAGCGGCTATGAGAATAAAGCTGTGCAAACTCAATATTGCTGGTTATATAACTTGCCTATAGGATGTTTCACATGATAGTGCTAAATTGCTAGAGCTAGGCATCATATGTTGCACTAGTGAATCTCGTGATCCTCTTTTCTTCAGCAGTTTTTGAGATCCAGATCATTATTTATTCTGTTTCCTCTGGAACTCATTTTCTTATATCCTACTGCATAATAAAATAAGTATCAGATAAAATACGCATTCCGTTCACAATGTGGATTAATGGCTAAACATATTATGTTCCAAGGAATTAAGTGCAATATATTAATATTCTTTAAGCCCGATCTCAAGGCCTCTTATTGTTTTCTCTTGAATATTTGATTCAGTTCGAGCATTATTAATGATCTTCTCCTTTCTCAGACTTGCGTGCAAGCATCCACACTGTCATTTCCAGAAATTATCGCAAAACTGCAGGAGCTAGGGTTTCAGGGCTTGTACAAAGGTTCCATTCCAGCAGTTCTTGGCATGTTTACAAGGTAAGTATTTCTTTCAGAAGCGGTATTTTAGGGATGAAGCAGTACTAACTGAGTCGCAGTTTGCTTTCATTGGCAGCCATGGATTGAGAAATGGACTCTGTGAAGTTAGCAAGTCTGTTTTGACCAAGGCAGCTCCTGGACTTCCAGATATCCAGGTAATGCAGTATATCTGTGGAGGACTGGTTATTTTTTAGAGTTAATTGCACGTAGACCCCATGCAGCATAACTATTTTGAACTTACTACCCCGTAGTTTCACTGTCGCAGATAGACTGTCCGGCTTATTTCTTTGGTTCTTTTACCCTTGGTGAAATTTTGGCAGATATTGCCCCAGGTGAAATCTGTGAGTCTACATGAGGGTCAAAGAGTAGGAAAGAAATTAACCCAGGGGACTATCTGCGACAATAAAATAAGGTAGTTAGTTCAAAACAGGGATACTGTCTTTATAATGGGTATATCAGGTTGTGCTCCCACAAGCTTAATAGAAATTTGCTTATCAAATCATTTGGCACAGTTTGTTTTGTTTGATTAACTTCATTGTATTTTACGGTAAGTAAGTGATATTTTCATCATATAGATTCTACCTTTATGTAGGTGCAATCTTTGGCATCCTTTTGTAGCACGGCTCTTGGAACAACGTACCGAATTCCATTTGAGGTTCTGAAGCAACGGTTGCAAGCAGGCATATACGATAACGTGGGAGAGGCTACTATAGTTACTCTTCGTCAAGACGGTATAAAAGGTTTCTATCGTGGAACTGGCGCGACACTTTCCAGGGAACTGACTTTCTATGTTCTTGGAATGGCCCTCTATGGAGAAGCAAAAAAGGTAGTTTCCCTTTTTCTTTCTGTTGATTTTATATGGTATGCTTAAAATTAGTACTAGCATGAACACAGGTTATAACGTTTACAAGTTTGCATCTTCTATTGCTATAAATGGATGATTAAAACGGAAAATTCTATAGGATCTGTTAAAATGGTTGTAGTGGACTCCATTAAAATAGAGGACTGCTTCTGGAATCTTATGAGATCTCAGAATGCCTATGTAATTGAAGGGAAAATTCTATAAAACAGTTACACGGCCAACAATGCTTTATGGATAAAAAAGTTGAGCAATTAAAAACAACATTTGCAAGCAAAAAATGAGTATAGCAGAAATGTGAATATTACGATGGTCCTACTGATATACACTAAAAGAATAGATAAGAAATGAGTGCATTTGCAAGAGATTAGAGGTTGCTTCTATCCTCGTTCTCTTTTTCCTATTGAAGCTTTAACTTCATAGAAATAGACTTTCATAATCTTTGATGCCTTTACTGTGTAAATCGTGTCGGCTATTGAACACAAGGTTCAATAACATTTAACGGAAAATTTATGATTGACCGCCGGGCATGTGTGTGCTCTTGCTTTGTCTGAATCATAAAATACTTACATTTCCCTTCTTTTGCTTCCTCATGTTAGGAGGCTTTTAAGCTTCCTCATGTGAGGAGGCTTTTAAGCTTCCTCATGTTAGTAGGCTTTTATATATTTTTATCCTTCCTTAGTTAGTTGTATGTATATCAATTATCAGAATACTATATCAATTACAAATTACTTTAAGATTTAGCCTCTCTGTTTGCATACTCGGATTTCTTTGCTACATTGAAGTTTTACTAGTCGTACAATTTTCCGGATTTTTATACAATGTTCCAATTTTTGTCAACACCTTTTAGCATATTGTTAGTCACTTCATAAGGTAATTCATCGCCTTACATATAATTGGTTCACTATAAACTTATTTATCTTTTTGTCGTTGCTAAAGGCTATGCAAAGAGTTCTCAGGCGAGACCTAGGGCCATGGGAAACTGTTGTAGTGGGGGGACTCACCGGAGGGCTAGTTTCGATCCTCACCACTCCTCTCGATGTAATCAAGACGAGAATGATGATTGCACCTCAAGGCATGCAAATAACAATGCAAATGGCGGCCATCACCATTCTTCGCAAAGAGGGACCCCTTGCCTTTTTTAGGGGAGCTTTGCCGAGGTTCTTCAGGATTGCGCCTTCAGGTGCAATAAACTTTGCTGGGTATGAACTCTTAAGAAAGACAATGGACAGGGCCAAGTTTTTTGATGGTGAACAACAGAGCAAAATGAGGATTGCAGGTACAACATAAGCAATTGACACTGGACCCCAGGATCTGCCATCAAGTTTATCAAGTTTTCTTAATCATCCGCAGATAGTTCTGAGTTTGTGTATATATAAATAAAAGGGCGAAGTTTTGCCGAGAGGAGATCTTTGCACCCTCTGTCGACACAATTTTCTGAAATATGTACTACTTCTGGTGTTAATAGTATGAAGATCAAGTTCGAGTTAAAATTGGGTTGTGTCCAGTTTCAAGGTAAGGCATGAAACTTCTACTGCTAGGCAAATGGAAATTGTGAATAAATATTTGCAGGAAAACCTCAAAACCTTGGATTAATTACGTTCAGGTACTCCGAGGTATAGTGTAATCACCCAAGTAATTCTAAAGTCCGTATCCACAAGGATTACCCTGAGAAGAATGGTTTTAATCATACAGGCGTCCCTGGAGTCTGTTCATTATATCCTTCTTAGGATTATCTATGTAGATACAATATGTAATCTCAGAATTACTCATGCATCTCATGTAATTACACAATAGCTGACGATAATTGGATGTAATTGATCGCAATTTTTTTCCAGATCTGTTATCAGTGACACATTTGGAGGCGTGCCAACGTATTTCAGCTCTGTGCACAGATGAGAGAGACTTTCAGCGGGGCAGTCCAATACAACATTGCATATTTGCTATTACACCAATGGAGGAGAAAATAGTTCAGATACTTAAAAAAACAAAGATAACTTCAATCAAGAAAAGTGTTCAGTGCAATCAAGTTCCCAATAATATCATATCCACATTTGATGAATTGATAATGGGCGAGATGAAGCTTACAACATATACTACTTGTACGAAAAAGGGCAGTCTGAACTTCATGTTGTAGATTCCTCAACAAAACATACCCTGCACTAATGATCAACATCTAAGGTTCCCGATTATTGAGTCTCCAGCATATGGGGTCTCATGTTTAAAGAATGCATCATCACCTCAACCTGGCTTCTATAATAGCAGAATAATCACTTGTAGTATAATAACCATCTTTGGTTCAATAATCAACTCAGGAAAGCCAAATGTTTGACACAGCAACAGAAAATATACAAATATCTTGTATGTAAGCATAAAAGAGCCATAACTCCTATGCGTGTATTAATGGTGGAGAGGGCTAAGCAGATATGAAAGATCTCGACACGACTCAAATCTTTCAATATTTTGTTAATGCTGAAAGAAACATCAGGGCATCATTCAAAGGTGGGAGCCAAGCACTCATCGACCATTTCCACAAGATTCGGGTTTTCCAATGCAGCTGCTACACGTTCTTTGTCATTCAATTGCTTGTTCACTGGCAAATATCAAGCAGAGATAATGGTAAGCTCATTAACGGAAAAGAAAAGAGCCAGAATGCTGTTTTTTAACAAGAGAGACAAAGAAGAAAACGGAAAAATACCAGCAGCTTCAGTTGCATGAGTCCCAGGTGCTACCCTGATATCCACCTTCAAAAATGAATCAAATGTTGAGGGAATAGACTATAGAATAATAATAATAATAAAGTTAACAACGGGGCCATAAAATTTTGCTCAGATAGAGGGGGTAATTTGACAGAAACAAGGTCTTGACTCTTGGGAAAAACAATTCCAAGAAGAACATGATGCGTATTAGCCTACTTCAACATGTTGAAGATAAAAAAAATACTGGGAACTTAAAATCCAATTAGTAGCTCGGTATTTCAGATTACTAATAATGAAAGTATGATGAGCAATGGGTAGGGAGAAATACCAGTTTCTCATAATGGACAACTGTTACTGAGGAAAAAAGATTAAAGAAATCGTGCTACGTTCACTAAGGTGAGCAAGTTGCACACCAAATCATCAAGTCCATTTACTAGAAGAGTTCATGATCGTCCCACATGCATTCAGATTGCAGACATATTAGACAATGGGAACGTGAACAGTGCAGACAACGCAGCAAGCATTAAACTTCGTCTTCAGATTCAAACGCACAAATCTTTCCAAGTTTCTTCATGAAAATCCAAGAACCCACAGTCAAACTCCTGATCACACCTAACCTTTGTGCTACCACCATTGTGAAGGCTCTGATGTATGGTTTAACTTAAATTCTGTGATTCATTTATTCAGTTATCCATTTGGTTGAATCAACAAATAAAAATGTAACTCTACTTGAAAATAAAATTGATTGGATATTTATTGGTTCACTTAAGTAGTATTTTATCTGAAGTGCTAACAACAATATCATTCTCTGCTTTCACAAGTCTACTGACAGCTTCCACAAGGGACTTCTAGTTAAGTATATTGGATTCATTTTTTGTATTATTCATTTATCAGAGAAAATATAGGTTTGTTTCTGAAGACAAAAAGTCTTTCCATGAGACAAAACATCTGTCTGAGTTACGTGATTCTGGTGTTCCATAAACCAATGCCAGTATAAACCCAAAAGCATTGATCATGACCCAAATCAATATTTACATCTAACCTGGACCAAGCAGTCTCAAGCCAGCTTACAAAGTATTGTTAAAGTTAGCAACCTAATCTTTTTCTACTATTAGAAATGTCTCTATGTCACCACTTTGAATTAACCATTGCAAGTATCTTATGAGGAATTTGGGTAAGCCGCCTAACTTTTTGAAGAAATTTAAAGAACTCACAAATTTTCCTCAAAATTTTAGGGTGTGAATAGAAGGCGCGTCTAAGATAAAAGATTATGTTTTTTTTCTCATACCCAGTAGTTTAAGGAAAAAACATTACTTTCATGTCAAAATACATGGCATTGAGGAATCTATTGAAAGGGGGCAAAAAATACATTACACTCATGTCATAAATCCTTGCTATCTGTCAGCTTCACCCTCGCACTTTCTGGTTTTACATTGCTTCTTATCTCAGATTTTTAATAAGCTCAGGAGAAGGGGACCTTACTCCTTTGATGTGTCTGAGAGAGCCTTCTAGATGGTTTAAGTTGACTTCTTTTACATTCTATTAACTGAAGAACCAACTCATAGTACGAAAAATTGCATGACATGCATCACGCAACACCGCAAACTGGCACTTAAAATCAGTTATTCTGACTTCTTTAACTCACGGTTCAAACACTTTAGAGTTGGAGAAATATCTAAACGAAAAACATAGCCTTAAACCTAGTTACGAACACCCTTTGTAGCAATATAATGATTGCCTCATTGTTCGATACTTGTATGGATCCTGCCAAAATCCTGACTGAACACATTTAAGTCATACTTCAAGCGACTAGAGACAAAGGTACGACCTATTTATAACAAGACTAGAAAACAGGAAACGTAACCATTTCCCAGTATGGAAAAACATTAAAGTGCAAGTCATTAAAATATATAACATATGTAATAACTAGTTTTCAAATCAGATTTTTTTTTGTCCTTTCAAGAATAGTTTGTTCAACACCAAAAAGTGCAGTCTTGGTTTCCCTACCTTATCAATCCACTTGGATTCCCATATTGGTAGGACTTTACCTGTTGACTGGATGATCAAAAGGTAAATCAAAGGGTTACCATTGCCAATGATTTGCCACAAAAAACAGTTTCATTAACTTAAAACACAGATACCAGTATTCATCTCCAGATTGCTTCCCTATGTCCTGTCTACTGAAGGTGATATGTGAGCTTTCAAAAATAAGTACCTCATCAGTGCCTTAATAGCACAAACATTCTTGTTCTCTAGTAATTAGAAGTATACAATATAACGATAAGGTATTGAATGATTTAACAATAACACAAATGAGAATTCATGATATATTAATAAAAGATAAAGCTACCATCCAATAACAGAAAACTTTCACTCCGTAATAGATGTCAAATTTAGACAAAGCACAACAACATTAGCAGCCTTCGATATCTATGAAACTGGTTTCTCATGAAATGTAGCACTCAAAATGCTCAGTGACTTGGTTGGCAACTAACTAATCATATGAACTGAATTTGTTCATCCAGAATGGGAAACGACATACCTTATAACGAGGAGGCAAGCTCCGCATAAGTTTTACACGTAAACAAAGACCAATGATGGTAGCCATACTACAATGCTCAACCGTAGGAGTAAAGGTCACCCTGCATCCAAAAGTGATTATTTCTTCACTACTGTACAAAAAGAACAATATAGAGTGAAAGCTACGTGTCTACTTACCTAACATGACTTTGCTTGTTATTGACTTCGATCGAGTCCTCAGTAACGACTTTCAGTTCTTCCAATGAATATGGGTGCTCGGGATCTTTTATATCTCTAACATGATTTAAGCATATTAAGGAAGCTCAACAATCAAAACAAAGATTTCTTTTCTTGATAAAATAAGGAACTTTAATTCATTGTCTTATCAAATTCATTGTACATAAAGGATATCAAAAATCTCAAGCTGATCGATGGGCTCTTCTGCATACTCATCAGTGTCTATTGGTGAATCCCGGACTCGGCGTTCTTTTCTCTCATAAACTATAGGATTAGCATTTATCAAGCCTGTAGCCATTTTCTGCCACCACTCCAATATGAAGGTATTAAAAAAGAAAATTCTTTGATGAATTTTTTTTTTTCAATTCCTAGGGGAAAACGTTGAGTTAGCCAATCAGTACAATGACAATTTAAACGAAAATTGCAAAAAAACCCAAAAAAAGGGGGAATAAAAAAGGGTAAGAAATAAGTAACCTAAAAAGTCATCTTATTTGTAAACCCCAGAAAGGTTCTGTAGCTAAATATCATCACATGAGCACAACAACTAGAATTTGTCACTCATTTTTAAAACCAGTTGGGGTTTTAAGCCCTAAAACGTAAAAACAAAAAAGGAGTTTTTAGATATTAGTCTCTTAAAACATACCTATTTTCGCATTAGTCCCTCACATCTTCATATTTTGATATGAGTCCCTCAAATTGCATTAAGCTGTTGATATTAGTCCCCATGGTTAGTTGGTGTAAAAAATGCAAGGAATATTATGTTAACTTTAACCCTAGCCATAAATTAACATTAATGCCCTCACCTAATAAACTCAAACCCGCTAGTGAGTTTCTCCCAACCGAAACCCATTAACAGTCCCACCAAAACCCAAACACGTTTCCCCTCTTCCTTCTTCTTCTCCCCAACGACAAAAAGCACAGTAAATTCTAAAATCAACGGCTATTTCAAAGGGAGAGATTACAAAATGCCATTGATACTCCTCCAGGCTTAATTTCTCCATATTCAACAAAAATCCTAAACCCTTAAAACTTAAACACACCATAAACACACATTTCGACAATGGCAGTGATCAAATAAGATAAAAATCCAGTAAATCATCGACAAATAAGGCATGAAACTAGTTGCAAACCTAATTGAACAATGAAATTTCAGTAACACAGAAATCTACTGAATAATGGGTCAAAACTAAGGGGAAAACTGAACAGAACAACAATATTCACAATAAGACAATAAAATTAGAGAATAAATTAGGGCAAAATGCAGCTTTACAATTGCTGAAAACCCTAAAAATGAAGGGCTTTTAACGCTAATCACAACAAAAAAAAACCTAAAAAGAAGAAGACTTGAAACCCTAAAAAAGGAGCGAAATCAGAGAACAAAATTTTACCTCCACAACTGCTTAACGTCTTCACAGCGGCCAAGACTCGTGGCTATTCTTCCCCCCACTTTGTAACAAGCGATTTGAATTGATTTTGAGGCGATTTTTGGCGATTTTGGGCGTTTTTGTACAAGATCACAAATTAGGGCAAAAAACCCCGCTCTCAAGCGATAACTAGAGAGAGAGAGAGGGGGGGAAAGAGAACGAGATTGAGGGAGCGCTGTTTTGTTGGGCTGTGAATAAAACTGCAGGGTATTTTGGTAAAATAGCATGCGGTTACGGTTAACACAGCTACATTTCGGTGTTTGTAATAGAAAAGCTAACAGGTGAGCTTCTTTATTAAAACTTATAACTAGCTCTTACTAGCTTTTAACTTTTATAATAAAAATACACAGAATTAGAATTAGATGAGCTTGTAAGCTATCTTTTGTAAAAGGTGACTTATATTGGCTTTTTAAAATGTGACGTATAAGTTGATTTATTTAATATTTTATCAAGCAAGTAGATATCAAAAAAACTAACTTAAAAGTTAGTTTGACTAAAAAAATAAGCTCCCCAAACACCCTCTTAATACAATTTGAGAGACTGATATCAAAATATAAATCTTAATACAATTTGAGAGACTGATATAAAAATATAAAGATTTGAGAGACCAACACCAAAATAGGTCAGATTTAAGGGTCTAATATTGAAAAACCTCAAAGATTAAAAAATAAAAAAAGGAGCTAAAATCGTTGAAGACGATTAAGGGGTGTTTGTTTCAAATCCTATAATTTTAGGATATGGATTTCATCATTGGATTTGAAATCCATAGGTTTTTTAACATAGGTTGGGATTTCTGAAACTTTGTTTGTTTCATCAATGTTTTGGGATTTGGAATACTATAATTTATAATATTTTGTTTGTTTCAAACTCAAATTGTAGCATTATAAATTTTAGAATTTGAAATTCATAGTTGTAGCAAATAAGTTTTAGGATTACCAAAATAATAATTGGTGAATATAAGAATCTTTAGTGAGCTTACCTCACACAGAAAATAAATACAATTGTATTCAATTGGGGTAAGCATACCCATTCAAAATTATAATCCAACGGCTATAAACGGTCATAAACTAACTCGAGACAATGTAAATAATAAAATGTAAAAATGAAATGAAAACAAGCTCAAACTCAAATATCTAATGCTATAAACGGTCATAGAACTAACATTGCATAAATTAGGACTAACATTGTACAAATTAGAACTCACAATACATACATTAAAACTCACATGACATATATTAGAACTAACACGAGCCGCGATAAAACTAACATGACATAAATTAGGACTAACATGGTACAAATTAGAACTTATGAGGCATAAATTAGAACTAACATGGTATAAATTAGAACTCACGAGGCATAAACCATGCACACAATTGAAACAAAGGTCACGCAAGGACTGAAACCAAAGACCAACCATAGCTGACCAACCAAAGGCCAAACAAAGACTGAAACCAAAGGCCAACCAAAGGACACAACTGAAACCAACTTCATAACCAACCCAGGAGCTGAAACCAAGGCCGAGAGCAAGGCTGAAATCATACCAAAAATCGATCGCCAACATGTAATATCCAAGACTGAATCAAGGCTGAAACCAACTTGAGAGAAATTAAGACTCGAACAACCCAAAATTAAAACCAAACCAAAACTTAACACAATTTATAGAAAATGTGCTCAGAAAAGGCCATTTTCTTCATTATCTGCATCGTCATGAAGTTTATAATAACAATGTTGGCTGCATTTATTGCCTCGCTAATTGATTACTAGTATAAACTTTTGGTTGCATACATTATATATCCGTCCATCATCATAGCATAATATCATATTATCAGTGTCATAACAGCTAATGCCAATAACTAAAAACCAAGCACCAGGTCATATAACCAGGAACTAACAACCAAACACAAAGTTATGAAAACCAGCATGTAATTCACAAATAGCCACCCCAAAGGAAACCAAACCAAGGATGAAAGCAAGGCTGAGATCAACATATCAAATTAGAACTAACATGAAATGCGACAGAACTAACATGGTATAAATTACAACAAACATGGTTTAAATTAGAACTCACATAGCATAAATTAGAACTAACAAGTGCTGCGATAGAACTAACATGACATAAATTAGAACTCATATGACATATATTAAAACTAACATGAGTCGCGATAGAACTAACATGATATAAATTAGAACTCACGTGGCATAAATAAGACCTCACATGACATAATTAGAACTAACATGAGCTACGATAGAACTAACATGGCATAAATTAGAACTAACATGATATAAATTAGAACTCACGAGACATACATTAGAACTCACATGACATATATTAGAACTAACATGAGCCGCGATAGAACTAACATGTCATAAATTATGACTAACATGATACAAATTAGAACTAGGGTATATAGAAGTAAGAACTAGGGGAAACTATAAGGTATTTAAGTGCTAAAGCCTTATAACATCACTATGACTTTGTAACTCTAGCAAGCTGAAAGGAAATCTAATATGTTGTATCCTCTGCTGAGGCCCCTCTGATTTCATAATTTAACTACACTCGAGTTCATGTTTACCTTGAAAGTCAATTGCACAACATATAAGTGCTGCCAAAATGATAAATTTCCACGATTTCAACCTCCTAACGAATTAAATGCAAGTTTGTACCACAACCAATCAACAAAGTCATAGATTTTAACAACAATAACAGCTCAAATCTCAGATCTACAAACAATTAATAGAAAAAAGAACACAATCTTCCATCTAAAACATCACAAACTAACTCAAAATTCTCAAATTACCTTCAATTTCTCGAGTCGGCTATTCAAACCCTAAGAGAAGCCTTCAAAGAGAGCGCGAAGAAAGGAATCGAGCAGCGGTGAGAATTAGGGTTGGTTGACCAGCGAAGCACGAGATCGCAGCTCAGAGATCCTTTGCTTTGTTCGACTTCAGCAAAAACTTCCCCCTTTTACGTTTCACGAGACGGAGAATGGATCTAAGAGAGGAATTAATTTGAGGGAAATAGAGGAGGGCGACGAGAACCCAGCGGGAAGAGGAGGCGGCGGAAGATTTGGTAGCGGGAAGAGGAGGCGGCATGTCAGATTTTGGGGCGGGAAGAGGAGGCGGCAGAAGATTTAGTAGCGGGAAGAGGAGGCGGCAGGTCAGGTTTTGGGGCGGGAAGAGGAGGCGACAGTTAGGAATTGGCAGCAGGAAATACAAACAAGTTTTATGGAATCCCAAAACTCAAAAAAAAAAACCTCTTTTTACATCCCAAAACTTTAAATTCACCCTATATCCCAAAAAAAATGAAACAAACACCCCCTTAGAGAAAGAGAAAATAACAAAACTTTCGTTACCTCTCTTTATATCCTAGGCACGAGCAAGGAAAAAATCGCCGAAGATGGCGATTTCACGGCGCAGGAGAACGAATAAATCGATTAAAAAAACAACCGGGGGCCGAGAGAGAGAGATTAAGGGGTCACCGGTTCGTTTATGGCATGTGGGCGCGTGCTAAAAACACGCTGGTTTAGATTTCGAACGACCGAAATCAGACCCCACCCGACCCGATTCAGGTCAATATTTATCCGGATGTGTATATTAAACAATGGGGCGCTGGGAAACTAAGGAGAGAAGATGAGATAAAATTACCCTAAAGCAACAATTTATCATATCATCACTTAAGTGTTTTTTCAGCGGTCTAGAATACTGATTTAATTTTTATTAATTTTTGAAATTTCATTGATATGTTATGATCACATGACCATTATCAAGTTTCTTAGTTTCGATCTTCTTTCTAGCCAATGGTGTGAATTTTATATCTCATTTTCTAACTTGTGATTTCTGAAAGTTACTGTTAAAGATAAAAGGTTCCTGTAAATATCCTGTGAAGTTCTTCCCACCGTCCATCAAAATATAACGTCAACAGCAAAATAAGTTCTGAGACTTCAGACCAATCTTACCTACCCACTTTATCCTTATTTTTTTAAAAAATAATCAAAGGTTTATACCTTTGATATTTTCTTATTGTGAAATAATCAAAGGTTACTCTTATGGAGCTTGTCCACTGATGTCTAATACCTAAGGTACCGTTTGACAAATGGTTAAGTGAGGGGTTAAAGAGACTTAGGCACTGTTTGGCAACCAAAAAAAGTGTCTTATCTAAGAGCTTGTGTCTTATTGACATGGTCAATAAGCTAGTAGAGCTGTTTGGTGACCAAAAATAGGAGGAGATTATTTTGAAGATTGTGTCTTTTGCAAGTAGCTTTTGAAAAGCTATCTCAAGTAGCGTTTGTCTTTGGGAAGGAGCTGCCAATTTTTTTCTTCCGTTTTTGCCCCTAATAATTCTAATTTTATATCAATAATATTGCATGTCTTTTTTAGTCATTTAACAAATTTAAGCTAGTTGTACAGCTACTTTTGCCAAACAGCTCTAGTCAATCAGCTAGCTACACAGCTAACAGCTTTCAGCTATAATTTCACAGCTTTCAGCTAGCTTAACAGCTTTCAGCTATAATCTCGTAGCTTTCAGCTAGTTTTGCCAAACAGAGCCTTAAGCTCTTCTTAACCCGCCAAACACAAAAAATGTATACAAGGGTTAAAGTGAGTTAACTCTCCATAATTTGCCAAACATAAAATATATAGAAGGGTTAAGCTAACCACTCTAGAGGGATTAAAATGAGTTAACCCTTCAAAATAAGGGGTTTACTAATACTCCTATTTATAAGGATTAAGAGTTAACCCTTCTAATTATAAAGAAAATAGTTAAAATCATTGTTATTCCCAAATACTAAAATTGATCACAAGGGGTAAAATAAAACTTATTTAACGGGTTAATAATTTAGTCCTTCAGATTACCGAATGGGCCAAGTACATTAATCATTCTCTTTAACTCCTCTTCATTAACACTTTGCCAAACGGGGGCCTAAGGTTTCGTTTGGATATCATGGTGTTTTTCTTATTATATTTTTGTAAAAAATATCATGGTGTTGTGTTTTTCCCTTAAAATGTTGTAAAAACATCATGATAAGTATTTTTGGTCAACACTAGTTTAACTCATTACAACATTAATATTAAACATATTATTAATATATTATTTATTAACATATTTTTGGTCAACACTTAGTTTATATTATTATAATATTATAAGTATTAATATAATATAATA